ATTGTTTGCATTGCTTCAATAACGTTTTTCACTTGAGAAAAAGGGGAAGAGTTATTCTCTCTTTAGTGGCCACTCGGACAGATGTTACGAAGTGTGTCCAAGACAGCTTGTCGAATGTTTCTCATCTTCCAGCTGTAGATCAGAGGATTGAAAGACGAATTCAGATACACAACGGTCCAAGTAAAAAACCATAAATGGGATAAAATGGCATTTTTACCATGGATCATCGTGGCGAGGCCAGCACAAGCTATTGGCAAATAGCAAACTGAAAACAAGATATACACGTAAAATGTAGCAACAGCAGTTTTTCTCAGCCTTGCGACATTTGCCATGTCTCCATTCTGAGCTACTTGTTCAGGTACTTGCAGAAGGCGAATCTGGTTTGTGTGGTGTCTTACGGCTGCGTATATCTTGCAATAAAGCAATCCTGTAGTTATGATACAAACAACTGACATCACGGACAAAACATGAATCGATTCATACCAGAAGCAAGCAATTACACTGAACACCCAGAATGAGATCACTACAGCAACAACCCGCTTATAAGTCACAAGTTGCTGGTATCTGAGATGAAGATGAATAGCCAAGAATCTGTCAACAGTTATCGCGAAAACACCAAAAAACGAGGAAACAACGAATAATCTGTTAGGGATGGCATATGCTTTAACAACAGCTCGATAAGCAATAATGTTGTCAGTATTTTTACTGTTTTTAGTTATTTCCATCGTAAGAAATGCAACATAAAGTGCCTGGACAAGTAAACCTACACCTAGATCAGATATAGACAGGCTTAGTAGCAATGTTTTTAAAGTCTTTGGCAACGACGACGTTTTTCTGAGGGCTTGTATTGTTATAATATTTAAAACGATGGCGGTGTAAGACAAGAAACCGTTCAAGACGCAGTTAGCGACAAGTGTTGGCGTATGCAAACCTTCAGCTTCCGTCATTGCATAGAGTCTTACGTTTCAATCTGTAGCTGGATAGAACATTTGAAGAGCTTTACAATTGTTTCTTATTTTGAAAGGCTCAGACTGCACCGGAAACAATTCTTCACAAGACGTACAGAACGGTCTGCAGAAGTTCTCGGCCGGGTCTTTCTCTTCTCTTCCTCCGATGGCAACTAAATTAAAGTGAGTCCTGTTGAGTCTACTGCGACAGTGGTATAAGAAAGTCCCTGAAACGCGCTCATAACATTTAAAATTTCAACGTATCTGAAATTAAAACTGTCTGTGCAATGCTCGGGATTCTCCTCATTTCACAGAAATTTGAATATATCTTTCTTTTAACCGAAGCGCGATAGGTCGAGCTTCGTAGGTGTTGAGAGTCCGTCAGTCAAATGGAAGAAAGTTATTTGAAACCATGACGTAATTTTAAATTAGAAAAGGCAGCTGGTTTGCAAAGGATTGCAAATAAACAGTCAAAAAGAAAGAGTTTAGCGGTTTAGTGATAGTTTAGAGGAAATGCAGACTATTAGGTCAAACACCAATTCAAAGTATTCGCTGAACTCAAGTAAAAACTATGAAAAAGGCACAAACGTTAATTAAACTTTAATCTTAGGACTAGGTGTTCAGAAAAAAAAACTAATTACCTATAAAAAAAACCTTACTAGCTAGGGTTTTAAAATAAAGATACAGTGGGTAGTTACTTGACAAATCGTTCGGTAATATGTGTCAGACTTGATCAGTTGCATACCGGATCAGAACGTTTAAAACATCCATTGTAGCCTCAGCTTAATGAAACCAGCCAACACCACGTGGCAATTCAATGAGTAATCATGTTTCAAAAAAGCAATATATGCCTTAAACTACAATCAACCCGGAAAGTTTAACATAAAGAAAGTTCATCATTGCTCGCAATTTAATGCGCATTTAATACACAAGACGATACTTTCTCCCTCCATTGAAACATAAAGTTGTACTTATAGCATCTGAAATATTCACTTCTTTGGAGTTAAAACTATGTCTTAACAGAGCTCGTAAATCAGAATTTGAATACGTCATCCTCATCACACAGTAATTTGAATATATTTTCATTTAAACCGAAACGCGATAGGTCGAGCTTTGTACTAAGTGTTGAAGTTTGTAGGTCAAAAAGGAAGAAACTGAAACTACTGACGTAATATTTAAGTATCAACAGTAGCTGGTTGTAATGAATCGCTAATACACAGTCATGCAAAAAGAGCGAGTTTAACGATGGTTTATAGGAAAAACTGACTATCAGGTCGGAGACCAATCCAATGTATTTACTAGACCCAAGCAAAATATATGGGGCAGACCTTTTGATAAACAGCGATCTACGACGATTCATATTCAGCTGCACATTAAGCGAACACCCATTATTAAGCGGACGAATGGCTCAGCTTGTTAAAATGTTTACCCATATATTCTGCAAAATAAACCTTTATTCAGGTGCCCGCTAATATTCAAGTTTCACTGTGAAAAGGGAAACAAATGCACGTTACTCCCAAGCTGAGGTCACTACAAAAACAAAACGCTTGTGAGTCACAAGCTCCTGGTATCTGAGATTAAAACGAGTAGCCAAGAAACCGTCAGCGCTGAGTTAACGGAGAAAGTCAAAGAATGCTTTGAAGACGCAGTTAGCGACCAAGGTTGAATATTAATCTTCAACTTCCAACATTTTATGGAACTCAGTACCCAAAAGTCTTATGTTTTCCACACTTTTTCAAGTTACACACATTTGCGAGATCCGCTATATTTACTAGAAGGTGTCGCAGTATTTGGAGAGGCCACCACTGAAACTTGATGTAATTGGGCAACTCGCTCAGCAAGATTCGAAAACGTACCAGGACTCTCCTTCGTTTCAACAGGGCTTTATTCGACTCCCCTGTGATCAACGTTTCTTTTCTAGAACACTTCTTTTTAATACATTTTCTAATTTCAAGCAAAAGTTCACTTGGTTTATGTAAAAATTTGCATGAAATCTTTGCGCACGTTCCAAAGGTGAGCGCAGTATTCGGTAGAGCACCGAAAGCTGCAATCTTCAGCTCGAAGATCTTTCTAGAGTCAAAGTACACTAAAGGAGATGCTCTCAGAAAGGCACCGACCAACCAATGAAAACCTGAGAGTCTGTAAAACCGAAACAGGTGCAAATATCGCCCGGTTGCAAAATTGGCTCAGGCACAGTTTGATAGGAAGTTACGCAAATATGGTCACAGCTTAAAAAATCGAGTTACTTTTATCAATTGATATCCTAATTTTCGACAAGAAAAGCAAGTTTAACTTGATTAAAACTGAACAAGCTAAAGAGCAGTAGTTGACAAGTTTGATTTTATAAAATCAATTTCCTTGCAATGATCAACGTAATTAACAATCAGTCCGATAAATGACATACCCTCCTCTCAAACTTCCCACCGTCCCTATGATGCTGTCGAATCCAAGAAGAAAAAAGAAAACATAACTCCGAACGTTGGCCAGGTAATGAAACAGTAAGTCATATGGTTATCAAAATTACAGAATGACCAATCACTGTTGAAAGCTACAAAAGTTAGAAAGTCTTCAAAACGTCAAATCTATTAAAACTTATGTAGTATATAAAACTGGTCGGTTTTGTAAACCAAATCGTCGCTGAAAGCTTCCCCACAGCTTCCCGGGCTGGCGAACAATTCTTTCCCCGCAGTCAATGGGACAACCTTATCAAGTACAAGGCGGTTGCCTTCATTGGAAAGCAGAAAATGCATGCAGACCTACTTTGCCAATTTGATTATCAGTAGCCTTTCTCGTACTCAGCCCTGAAGATGTAGGGACTGCAGCTTTTTAAATGGCTTTTAAAGTACTCAAGTTGGACGAATATAACCTATAGCATTTCATTTCTAAAAGACCTTACTAAGTCTGATTCAGCCTCTCATGGAGCAATTTGAGCACAATTTAAGCAAAACTACCCCCCATCAAATGCTTATTGCAGTCCACGCTCGGACTTATTTCAGCCTGTGGGTTGTACTGGCCTTGATTAAGCGAGCCAAATTAGATCCAAAACTAGGACTGTATTCCTACCCATTGAAATAACCCCATTTTAGGGCTTGAATAGATCTTTTAGATTTACGGTGTTTAAAACCAGAACACAAATTTTTAGACAGAGAGAAACAACAAAATGCGATAACAGAAAAACAATGCTTAGCGTAGTAATGTTAATGGCAAGAAAACTCTGCCATACACGCCAGGAAAAGTCGACGTCCTCGTTATAAACATCTTGAATTTATTAATTAAATCATGTTAACTTTACTGACATACAAAGACGCTTCGCAGAATTTGCACGACAACTTGTCGAATGTGTCTCATTTTCCAATAGTAAATCAGAGGATTGAGAGATGAATTGAGATACATTATTGTCGCTGCATAATAAAGTAGATGCAACCCCAAAGCAGATTCCCCCTGGGTTGCAGTGACAGCCCTGACACAAAACAATGGTAGATAACAAACCAAAAACACGATATACACATAGAATGTTGCTACAACAGTTTTTCTCAACCTTGCTGAATTTGCCATTTGTCCGGCATTCTGTGCTGCTTGCTGTACTTGCAAAGCGTGAATCCGATTTTTATGATGTTTTACGGTTCTGTATATCTTGCAGCAAAGCGATCCTGTAATTATGAGACAAACAGCTCCAACGATTGCACTTGTAGTTTCATTGACTTTTTCTAAAATTCTGTCCAAGTTAAATAGTGAGGAATCTGAACTTAACAGCCATTTTAAGATGACAGCAACAATAACCCGCTTGTGTGTCACAAGTTGCCTGTATCTGAGATGAAGATGAATAGCCAAGAATCTGTCAACAGTTAAAAGGACAACGCCCAAGAATGAAGCGTTAGAAAATACGTACCCAATGATAAGGTGTACAGTGTATACCCCATGATGAGCACTGTCGTTAGAGCTCTGTTCTGTGTTCATTACAAGACGAGCAATATAAAGGGGATGGACAAGCAAACCCACCCCAAGATCAGAAACAGCCAGACTCAGGAGTAATGTTTTCAAAGTGCTTGGTAATGACGGCGTATTTCTAAGTGTTTGTATTGTTATGATGTTCAACGCGATGGCGCGGTGTAACACAAAAAAGCGTTAAAGACGCAGTTTGCGACCAGCGTCGAATACAAACTTTCAGCTCCCGTCATTTTATAGAACAACAAGTAAATCCTTCGATTCCTGAGTATACTGACAATTAAGTTTCAGATGAGACTAATGCCAGAAATAATTATCCGCGAAACTTAACTAAACACTCTTATTCAAAAGTTCAAAATACGCTCCACTAGGCTTCTTCCTTTTGCATTAGTTGGATCAGCCTTGTGTCAGTTTCGTCTTCCCTTTTCCTTGGTTTCAGTTATGTAGTCGAAAGGCGCGTGTCCACTTTTAAGAACTGAAGTATTCACCAATGCTTGGTTGTGATCAAAACTTTACACGTCCTCGCACAAAAAAATGTGAGCAATTTCTTTGTAGCTAAAATCATACGACGAGCTCTCAGTTACAAGCATTAAAGACGACAGGTGACAAGAAAGAAACTCCTGAAACTACTGGCGCAATTACAGCTTACTTTACCGCGGTTTTCATAGTCGTGATTATGCATAGAGACGTTCAAGGATTCCACTTGCAAGATTTGAAAAAACTGAGTAGTTGTGTCTTACGCAGATTTAAAAATTGAAATAGTGTCCTCGCCAAACAAAACTTTGAATACATTTTCGTTGTAACTCAAATTAACTATAGGACGAGCCTTAATATCATTATTTACGTTTACCAGGTGAAAAGGAAGAAAGTTAAAATATATTTCTGTACATACACCATCTTGATTAACGTGTCTATGGTCGTTCTAGCGCCAATGACAAACATAGACTTGTTAGCTTTTATATGTTTTGTTTTCCCAACTCAAATCACGCGAGTTCGTAATTTCTAAAAGTGTTTCTTGAATTATGCATGCAGTTGGATAGGACAATTTTTTAATTAGTGTTTTATTGTAACACATTTACTTTGAAGTGATTACAAAAATACGAAAAAAGGAAAAAAACAAAAAAAAAGAAAAGAGGATACATTATTACATATACAAATGATATCACAGAATTAGATTAAAACATAACTGAATATAATGTTATACCTATTCCCATGTTGAAGGAACAGGAAACAAGGCGGAGGCATTTCTCTCTCTTATTTATGCAATGAATTCTGTGCGGTATTTAAGATTGATTTCATTAACAAATTCTTGGAAGAGTAGAGCTTCTTCACTTATAATAAATTAAATTTGCGGTAAATGTAGTAGCGGAGGAGTCAAGTAAAGTATACAGTAGAACTCCGGCGAAATCTGAAGGGGAACGAAAGACAGTTCGAGTTACTGAGGGTTCGAGTTATAGGGCTGATAGTGGTCGATTGAATATTTAATTTGCCATGTTTATAACTGATGGTTTACCGTTTTTTCGGCGCTCAGGTATACAATACATGGCAAATTAAACCCAGTATCTCATCAGAAACTGTAACACACGATTCGGTATTACTTGCAATATTAAGAAATGACACTGCCAAATTCGTGATCTGTTCGTCGTGCTAATTAAAATCAAATTCAGTGCCGTATTGGTAGTTTTGGATTTTTACCGATTATACGACAAGAAGAGCTAATGGGATGACATACATTAGGGGATGAGTTGCTGAATCAGAGTTCGAGTTATCGGGGGTAAAGTTTGATCAAGGGAAAGGAAACTTAGTTCGAGTTAGCGGAGAATTCGAAATATCCGAGTTGAAGTTAACCGTAAAAATGACTGAAGAGTGAGATAAAATCCAAGGGAATGGGACTTAGTTCGAGTTAGCGGGAAGTTCGAGTTATCCCATTTCGAGTTACTGGGGTTCTACTGTCGTTTAATTTCCTATTTAAAAGTCCTGGTGTACAAAAAAGGCCAAATTATATTTCCTTTGTTCTTGGAAAAAATTACAACGGTTGGACTCGTTGAACAAATGAATAACATTCTCGGTGAAGTGCTTTGAAAAAAGGCAGTGTATACTGAGTGTGACTGATTGAGTCTTCTTCACCACAATACAACCATGTCTTGTCAGGTTTGAATCTGAAGAGTTCTTTCTTGCTAACAATTATTCTGAATTGGACGGTTAGACTATTTAAACAAATGAATAACATTCTCAGTGAAGTGCTTTGAAAAAAGGCAGTGTATACTGAGTGTGACTGATTGAGTCTTCACCACAATACAACCATGTCTTGTCAGGTTTGAATCTGAAGAGTTCTTTCTTGGTAACAATTATTCTGAGAAGGAATCTGAAATGAAATTCTCTCAAAGAAGGAAACAGTTCGTTGGAGTATCATCACATGGTATGAAAATGGGAAAACAAGTTAAAATGGTCTGTATGGGGCACATTTTCCTTGCTTGCGATTAACTAGTTAACTAGTTAAATTGAATTAACTAGTTAACTAGTTAAATTGTTAACTACGGGCGCAATCGGAGTTAAATTCACCCCGTTTACGTTGCAGTAATGAAAGCTGGAATATTCCACGAATCGAGAATTCATAAACGCCAAAAAGATCTATGAAACGTTACCCGCTGATTAGGAAAAGTGCTGGCTCACAAGATTGTAGATAAACTACAGGAGAGTACAAGATAACATAGACCTAAACCAGACGAGTCATCGATATGTCAGCGGCGTCTTACAAAATGACTGAGATGATCCCAGGGGGGGGTGGTGAACTTGGTAGTTTGTTTGTCCGGACGATCTTGGCCATCGTGACGTCACGAAGAGAGAAGCGCGCAACTTCGAGGAGTTTTTCGAAAATGGCGCCGTTGCCATTTCCAAATGCTACTTTTAAAGTTGGTTTTCCTGGATATTGACGCTCCAAAATGGTTTTTGTCACGGTAGGATAGTGCAGTTCCAACATCTCTTTCCGAGAAGGTAAGTGAAATGTGTATTAATCCGAAAAATAACGCGTATGAGAGCTGTAAACAGTTTCGGTCAATTTCCTCGAGTGAAATAATGTGCCGCAAAAGTTTGCATATTCGCACAGTAATATCGCATTTTCTCGAAATCGGTGAGGTGTTAAACATCGAAACTTGGCATAAGGGTGGGTTACTTCTATTGGAAAGCATTATCTCTGAAGTTAATTGAGATAAACTAGCAGAAAAAATGATCAGTCCATTCGAGTGTGCCAGCGTAGCCGCTATTAAAGGTACAGTCCCAGAACTGATGCAATTGTATTGATTACTTTGCTGTTATCTCCAATAATGCCAATAATACCACCTATTCAAGCTGTCTTTTCGGGATAGTAACCTTTAAGTAGTTTCTGTTAGAGGGAAAGTATAGTTGCAACAGCTCTTTCCGAGAAGGAGAGTTAATTGTATTATATTCTGTTGATAATTACCTCGTAAACAGTTTAAGTCAATTTTTTCAAGTGGAATATTTGTCGCAGAAATTTGCATGATCGCATATTAACATCGCATGTTTTAGAAAATCGTTTTGGTGTGGAAACTCGAAACTTGGCCGAAGGGTAGGTCAGCAATAGTGGAAAAAATTGTCCTTGATGTTTAATGGGAGAAATTAGCACTAAAAATGATCAGTCCATTCGAGTGCGCTTAATATTGATAAACAGATGACCTCGACTCGGTTACCCCGACACAATGTAAGTCAATTATTTTTCGGTTTTAAGAAAAAGGAAACCAAAGACTTCCCTCAACACTATGTATCTATAATAATTACACCAGGAATATATTTTTTTTTAACACTTGAAGGTTGTACCATCTTGTTGAAGCAAAGGATATTTCTCTGTAACACCTTTAAGCTTACATTAAGTTTTCATAAATAGCAAAAAAAATTAATAAGATTTACATACAGCTCCAAACATGTACATCTGTTATGCATGAAGCAATTTCATGTCGTTCCACATCAATAGTTAGTGCGAATGGAGTCAAACATGTATAGTGAAACTTGACGTATAATTTAATTGGACACCTCAGAGAATGCTGTAGTGCCCACTTGATACAAAGTTTCTTCCTACTACATACAGGTTTCGGTAGAAAATGTCATATGAGACAGACCTGCCAACTCTCACAATTCTGCCGTGAGTCTCACGATTTTTTAACTTTTCTCACGGTCTCATGACAAGACTCCCAATCTCATGGTTTTCTGGGAAATATTCTAAATTGAAATATTACCTCGTTGAATAAAAACATAAATTTTGTGGGGAAATTCTTGTGCCTAGATAAGCGTTGACTGTTTTAGCCATGAAGTTGTCTTGGCCCAAAGAAATGACTCTGCTGTATGTTTCGTCACAGTGATAACCTATTTTCTGGCCTCTTTAAAGTCATCAAAGAAAAAGCGGCATCTAATTTGTTACATAACGGACCACACTAAAGCAAGGTTATATTAAAATAAACAGTTAATTCCCCTAATGGAAAAGGGGTCGTTTAATTTTGATCGGGAAAAAATAGAATCTCACTAGTTTTTGTAGAATCTCCCAATTTTTTTTCATGAGTCTACAGATTTTCCTTTATCAGGGGTTGGCAGGTCTGTATGAGGAGCTAAGTACCATTCAAATAAAAGGCAGAAACATTTGGAATACTCCCAGAGATATGGTGATATACATTTGCATTAATATCTTTATTTGTGTGGAGCAAATAATGCCTCAAATTTTTAGATATCAAATGAGTAAAACAAGCTTTATACAAACAAAAATGTTAAAATAACAAAAGGCACATAGGGCTCAGCCGGATGGTACCATAATGACGTCAAAACGTATGGAAACAGGCCTTTTCTCCGAAACCCACCCCATTCCCCTATGGCTTTTTTTATTTGCGTTTACCCTACCTCACCTCCCCTCCCCGTACCTGATGAAACAAGGCTTTCAACAGTTTGTTGAGATAGGATGCTTTATGTCTTAAAGGATGAGCTCATCATATTTTATTATTGTATAGATG